ATCATATAATTTTGGCTACTTTTCATTAAAAACAATATTTTTACCAACCGCCGTTTTTTTCTTAACACCCTGTATATTAATATTATCCCTTAAACTGTCTGCCGTCCAAATTTGGACACTAATTTTTTTTCATATATAAAATCTTTTCTGATCATGCTTTCTAATTAACAAATGATATTTGGGATTTTATACACTGATCTATATATAGAAATTCAGCCATTATTATTATGGGTTTTGTAAAACTGTAAAAAGTCTACCATGCCCGTGTCGATCATTACCTTAAAAATTGATATATTCATAATAAAATTTTTTATTACGCGATTTGGTTAATTTTGATTGGTGGAATTTTGTAATTTAGCAATAAAATTTTCGAAATTGCCTTATTCGAAAATGTGGTCAGTTTAAGGATAATTACAATATTATAAATAATAATATCTGAAAGTGCTAATATTAATTTGAAAATATTTGAAAGTGTTATGATATTTATATTTGAAAATATAAAGCTCCTCACAAGTTGGCTTGTGAGCCAAAAAACTTATTCAGCTTGCAAGCCTACTAAGTTATTTGGCTTGTGAGCTGGCTCATGCAGAGCCTTACAAAAGTATTATGGACATTTGAATAATAAGAATTGAAATATCATTTTCCATAAAATTACAAATATTCGAATATGGATAAGGAAGAACAAGTCACTACTGTTACTGTTATAATGACATTGAATTTTATTTATTTACAAAACATAAAGATGTTAAATTCACACAATCTATTTACTATGAAAGGGATTTTTGCAAAAAAAAATTGTAAACTCATATTTTTGCACAATTCTAATTTCCTTATTATTTTTTTTATAATGTGTCTTTATCCCTGTATCTATCACATCACATTTTTTTATGTATAAAAATATTTTAACATCTAAAAACAACTTTGTTTATTATGTTTAAAAATCAATGAATGTCAAAAAATGATTGTGCGCAATTAATGATTTTGTGTAATTGTTTATTTAGTAATAAGGATACTGGCTACAACTTTTGATGATGGTTGCTACCATCTTTGCATCATATAAAAACGATTGCAACCACTGGTTGCAACCACCTTTACA